GTTCTGACAGATGCTCGAGGCTCAGCGGAACGGCAAAAACAGACGTTTAATCAGAATGCTACTGGCACCATTAGTATCGGAACTCTTCGCTGGCTGCTGAAGATGAAGAGGGAGCGCTTATGATAATGCCCCGAATGCTGTGATGTCAGTTCTTGAATCAACTCAACTCAGCTCAGGACATCAGTGACTGTGCTCCAAACACTAAAATGAATCAATATAGAATATTAGTGACTGCTCCAAACGCTAGATTGATTCAACAACAAAAATTAGTCATTGTGCTCCAACCACAAGACTGGATCAACACAGGACATCAGTGACTGTGCTCCAAACACTAGACTGAATCAACACAAAATACCAGTGACGGTGCTGCAAACACTAGTCTGAATCAACACAGAATTCAAGTGACTGAGACCCAAACAATAGGCGAATCAACACAGAATACCAGTGACGGTGCTGCAAACACTAGACTGAATCAACACAACATACCAGTGACGGTGCTGCAAACACTAGACTGAATAAACACAAAATACCACTGACTGAGCCCCCAAACAATAGGCTGAATCAACACATAATACCAGTGACGATGCTCGAAACACTAGACTGAATCAACACAGAATACCAGTGACGATGCTCCAAACACTAGACTGAATCAACACAAAATACCAGTGACGGTGCTCCAAACACTAGACTAAATCAACACAGAATACCAGTGACGATGCTCCAAACACTAGACTGAATCAATGCATTCACCAACATCAGGCAGAACATACACGTGAATTTACATAATGCCTACATTGTAATGGAAGCAACCACGATTGTATTAGTATATAAGAGAAGAGAAAAAAAGTAAAAAGCAAGAATCACCAATGCCTGTTTAGGGAGAAAATTGAGAAGCGGAGAGAAAAAGATGGAAGAAAAAAAGTAGAGAAGGAGGAGGAGGAAGAAGAATAAGAGGAGGAAGATGAGCAGTGGTAGAAATAGAAGAAGAGTCAGAGGCAGATAATTTGTAGAAGATAAACGTAAATAGATATTTGGTAACCAGCAAGTTGAATATCTCTCTGAAAACAGTTGAACTGGGAATATTTCTGTTGTGACTTAAAGAAAACCATCTGGTCCTAAGATAGCCATCGACAAATCTGAGGCAGTGAATTTGTTGAGTCATGTTTGTGTTTTGTTTGTTATTTTTTTTTTAGAAAACGAACAAACCCAGATACAGAAAATGCTGACACATGGACCAGCAATGTATGGGCGACCTGTTCGATTGTTTCAATTCCAAAGTCGGATTGTGCTTAATTGTTCTAGTCTCTGATGTCAAGGTTATAGGAAAATTAGTTTTTCAACTACGAACAAACACTGCCATGATCTTCTGCGTATTATCGTTGTTGTACACTAAATATCGAAGTTGTACACGCAGTACTACAAACAGTTATTATCATAGATATATACCTAGAATCAACTTTTACACACAGTACTATAGTTTTACACCTAGTACAAAACAGTAAATAGGCTTTCCACTCACTACCACAGTGTTACAACCAGTGCTATAGTTTTACATTCAGTATCAGTTTTACATCTAGTACCATTGTTTTACAGCTAGTGTCATAGATTTAAGCTCATTACCAAAGTTTACACAGAGTACCATAGTTGTCCACCTTCTACTGCAGCCTGCAGTTTTACAGTCAGTACCAGAGCATTACATTCAGTACGAAATCTTTACACCTAGTACCATTCTTTTACCCCCAGTACCGTAGTTTTACATCAAATACCATAGCGTAACAGGCAATACCATAGTTGTACACTGCACCAACGATATTCACCCAGTACAACACAATTATATTCACAATTACAATTTTCGCTAATAACCTACGAATCGTCACTGAAAAGACCGAAATAATGTTACTAGGAAAGATATACTTGGCACCACAATAAAGTCCTAAATAAGTTAGCGGAAAATAGGAACCAAGCGAGGATGAGGACCAACGCAAGGGTCAGTTCTACAGTCACCCCTATGCGCTTCCTCAAGGCTTGGCAGATTTATAAAGCAAATTCAACAAAGTCGCATACGCTCCATCAATACGTGACTGCGAGGGACTGGTTACTGGCTGTCAACCTGCCTGGTTTCGAAAAGTACCCAGAGTCCACCCGGAAGACCGTTTTGAGACCCAACATAATTCTGCAAATGCGGACAAAATGCCAGCTCATCCTGATTGAGCTGAACATGCCGTATGAGTCGCGAATGGATGAAAATCATATGTACAAGCTCGAGAAGTACAGGGATCTCGTGGCCGGTCTGAGAGACGAAGAGTACTAAGTAAAAATCTTCGCCGTCGAAGTAGACGTTAGAGATCTTATTTCCACTTCCATGTACAATGTGCTAAAGCAGCTGGGCTTGAAGGAAACGAGCGTAAACGGTCACTAAAACAACCGGGCGAAGCTGCTGAAAGAGCTTTGAGCTGGCTCTGGACGCAACGGAACGTTGTGGGTGATAAGCTTCGGTAGATAGGTCGAGTCCCTAGCGGAAAAGAGCTTCTTATCCCTTAAAAAAAGCCAAAGTGTCCGATAAATAACTGCCGGTGTCTCTCTGGCGAAGGCCAAAGTCTAACAAACTATAAGCTTGTCACTCTGGTTGTGAAGGTAGTCAACTGATCTAATTTACTACCGCAACGACAATAAAACACAAAATCTTACCACACCTATTAAATCACCATATCGTCTTGTCCCTATCGAGTCCAATGAAGTGCAGCAGGGGAATATCGAGGCCTGGCTTCATGACCCAGGTCGGCCCACCTTCCGAGATTGTTTAGGGAAGCTATAGGCCGAAACAATTGTCAACGAAGGATCTCTACTGATGACCAGTGGACCCCTGTTGTGCTTGCTCCTGTGTGGAGTTCTTCTTACTAGGTAGAAAAATGCAGAATCTAAATATTGCATGAGAGTAAAGAGTTATTATTGGGCAACCGAGTTTAATTCCTGGGGACAACATTTACTGAAGATTGCAAAATAGATGAAGAAATTACCATCTGATGCAGTAAAGCAAATCGAATTATGCTTCAGCTGCCCCCCTCCCCCTCCCCCCCCCCCCTAAATCCTCCTTTTCCCCCTTCACAAGACAATTCAGATAAGCAAGAAACACACACACACACACACACACACACACACACACACACACACACAAAACACATACACATATAAGTCATGCAATGCAGATACATTTCTATTCTACCTGTGACATACATAGTTACTCACAACAAATCAGACAAACAGTCATCATGGAAATTGATTCATGAGAAGGGCTACCGGATTGACATGAAGAGATACAATTCAGAGATGAGGTCATAATAGAGCAAGCCGACAGAGAACCAGTCATAAATTACGTACAAAGAGAGCAAATAAAATTGTTTACCAAAAAAGAGTGTTTGACGACGACATGTCATAAATAGCATACACAGAAAAAAAGGAGAGACATGTAGAGAACAAGCCATACCATACATTTAGTACCATAGTTTACACTGATACACCCAGTGCCATAGTTTTACACTCATATATTTAGGACCATAGTTTACACTGATACACCCAGTGCCATAGTTTTACACTCATACATTTAGTACCATAGTTTACACTAATACACCCAGTGCCATAGTTTTACACTCATACATTTAGTACCATAGTTTACACTGATACACCCAGTGCCATAGTTTTTAACACATACATTCAGTACCATAGTTTACTTCGATACACTCAGTACCATAGTTTACACTGATACACGAAGTGCCATAGTTTTACACTCATAAATTCAGTACCATAGTTTACCTTGATACTTCAGTACCATAGTTTACCTTGAAATATTCAGTACCATAGTTTACCTTGATACTTCAGTACCATAGTTTACCTCAAAACATTCAGTACCATAGTTTACCTTGATACTTCAGTACCATAGTTTACCTTGATACTTCAGTACCATAGTTTACCTTGAAACATTCAGTACCATAGTTTACCTTGATACACTTAGTACCATAGTTTTTAAAACATACATTCAGTACCATAGTTTACCTTGATACACTCAGTACCATAGTTTACCTGGATACATTCAGTATCATAGTTTACCTTGATACACTCAGTACCATAGTTTTTAAAACATACACTCAGTACCTTAGTCTACCTTGATACACAGTTTTTAACACATTCATTCATTATCACATTTTACATTGATACACCCAGTGCCATAGTTTTACACTGATACATTGATTATCATAGTTTATAATGATACACTCAGCACCATAGTTTTACACTCAGTAATTCAGTACCATAGTTTACACTGATACACTCAGTACAATAGTTTACACTGATAAACTCAGTACCATAGTTTATACTGATACACTCAGTACAATAGTTTACACTGATAAACTTAGTACTATAGTCTACACTGATACTCTCAGTACCATAGTTTACACTAGTGCACTCAGTACCATAGTTTGACACTCATACATTCAGTACTATAATTCCCCCTTTCCCCTTCCCCCACATACACACACATACACACATACACACTTCCAGAAATAAACAATTAGAGGTAGAAACACTTTAAAACACACACATAAACACTCACACACAATTTGAGACAGAAACAATCAAAGACAAACAAGCAAAGACAGACTATGTCCCTACCGAGACAACCTACGTAATAGAATGGCCGAGCAGCGTAAACATGTGTCAGCAGTTTGTGGACAAAACGAACATCTTTCGCTTGTCATGGTCAGTCTGATGCAAGAGCTACAACTGCACAATAAGTTCAACAGATAACGAAACAAAAAAATACATGAATATCTAGATAGGGACAGATGGGCTGGCGTTTTCTTTGATTCCAAGGTCGTGTGGCAATGATAGATAAGGAGGCTATCTGCAACCTCCAAGGACACTTACACCAGGTACTATAAAATCTTCCTGCTGTTTTATTGGCCAACTTTTACAGAATTCCACAAACTGCATCAATTATTGCAAACATGGTAACTGTGCTTGTCGTTGTATAGCTCTGTGTAATAACCTATACTTAAATGATACTGACTAGGTCAAGCAAAACTCGTACAACAAGAATGTCTTTGCAATAGAACCCACAAGGACATAAAAATAAAGAAAGACCAAGACCTAGAGAGTGAAGGTAAAAAGATGGGGAGGACATGGGGATAGCTGCATGCGTAGGAAAGAACGACTTGGCTGAGGGCCTATGATCTGTTGGGAGTTAGAAAGGCAGAAGAAGAGGAAACGTATATTTTTCCTGACTAATCTGCACTGATTGGATAACTTGATTAACAAAATACCGGGCATTTTTTTTTTTTTTAAACTTCATATTACATCGCCTGGTACCTAATTTATGACGAATTTTACCTAAGTCAATCAAAGCCATTTTTTTTGTTTTTTATTTGCCCAATACTGTTTCGAATCCAAAACATAAGCCGGCAAGCCAGCACCTAGCCACTATGCAACGGCGGCTCTGTATCGCTCTCTATATTTTTCGGGTCAGTTCTGAGCACATACCTAGTATAGCCACCATCATAGGTTTGTGCACGGTGGAGTCTACACACTCGCCTAATGCACAGATCAATTATTTTGTTCTAAGAGGCTGGCGCAGGGTCTCGAAATCAAAATATTGCATTTGTTGTATGTGTGAATGTCGGCTTAGGCGTTGCGAGCGAGCTTTCGTAATGCCAGGGTGGCGGGATCGATTCCAGCTGCGGAAAGTTTGTCTTACAGTGGTACCGAGAGCTGACGTTTAAGAAAGCAATGGCAAGCTACTGAACGTGAAATTTGCTTAGAAAATATACTCAACAGCTATACGATGCTGGGGTTGGTTCTGCAGCGTCCTGTAAAAGATGCGCAACTAACTTGAAGGTTTGAACAACGAATCAACATCGTGGCACATCATGGCACACGGATAGTAACCCACAACTGCATTGTTCTTCTTCTAACTCAAGTCTGAGACCGAAGAAGCTCAGCACAGTGTACAGGCCCTGTAGCACCAGCAAGGACTCATGCGTAAGTTAGAAGTAGAATGAAGCACTTATGTGACACGATGTTGATCCTTCGAATAAACATGAACATAAACACACTGAGCACAACATTATGTTGTGATTCCTCACCGTTATGTAGGATAGGGCTCACCTGGTTATATACTCTTTTAAACTGACCGACAGGCCTAGCAAGCCAGCAGGGTATTTTATTTTGCTAGAAGAAAATATAATGAGGACAGCGGAGCTATTTCGCTCAAATTATTCTCTTCCACGTAAGTGAAAACATTTCCCTATTTTTGATTTCTGCAGTGAAGACATTTAAGTAAAAACTGTATACACCAGGGAGATGAATGGTAGTAAATCACGAGGGAGAGCAAGAAGACGATCGAAAGATAATATCCAGACAGACCTGCAAACACTTGGTGTTACCAACTGGAAAGAGAAGGCTATCTAGAGAGAGGAGTGGAGGCGGGTGATATCTACAGCATGTGAACCTCAAGGGATCGGAATGCTGAAGAAGAAGAAGTGATTACATTTCTACAGAGTTCGTGCTCCGCGCAATGCTCTCAGTAGGCGGCTATCCGTTCAGTGGAGAGAGAAATAATCATATGGAAGGAAACCCGGTGAAAAGAAGTAGATCCTCTCGTTTTTTAACTTTTTAATACTTATCTGTTCGTTTTCAGAAGACAATCACTGCACTGTTGTTTACAGCCCTAGTCAGTCTGGGTAAGTTATTTGTTTGCGGTTACTTGTTGACAAAACTGCATGTAATTGTTTCTACATTTTACAATACCAAATGGCGTTGTTTCTACAAATTTCATTTAAGATTCTATTATGTCTACACGATGCAATACTAAATGCTGCTATTTATTTAAATTACAAAACTGAAAGGTGTTATTTATGCATATTGCTCAGCTGAATGTGTTATTTACATTATTTACAAGACTGCATGGTGTTACTGATTACGTACACAGACCTGGAACTGAGGGAGAAGACATAAATTGCCTGTAATAATAAAATTACTTCTGCAAATGTCATACTGATAAGCATTATCTTTACGAGTTACAATCCCTGTTTTTTTTTTTTTTTTAAAGTTGTCTCAAAGGGAGACAATTCAATCTGTGCTAATTTTGTTAAGGTTATGTACCTTTTTTTTATTGGGATTCTGTACTCAATGCCCAATGAAAAATGTGCACATGTTTTATTATTCATCTACTATGTCAAACTTTGCTTCCAGCCACCCTAATAGATAGAGACTTTTTAGCTAAAAGCTTTGCCTAACCTCACCTCTCGTAGCGTAGAAAAAACGCAATTTCTTGTTATTTAAATATCAAGGAAAGATATAACACCGAACGGAAAGTATACCTGCGAGCTTCACCATATAACAAATACAAACAAAACGTGAACGTTGCGGCTATGGGCCTTTTTCAGCACATACATAGAATATATCATACTACACAAATACACAATACCACAGCCGGGTCTCTGTCAAGACACTAATCTGGAAAAGCACGTGGGGCCTTCAAAATGGATATCCGGGGATATGCCAGCGGGCCGTCACTTGAGGATAAGAAGAAACTGTGTAGGCAGTGCAGCCCCCCTAGGGTTTAGGTGAAGCTTTGTTGGCAGTTAGGTCCACTAGGCGGCAGAGATCCCAAGGTGTAAATATGGCGCTGTTCAAGAGACTTGCGAACTCTGTCGCTGAAGTGGCAGGATTTAATGGCTGTCAACTCCATGTCGTGGTCACCTTGGTGGTCATGAGAACTGAAATGCACTGGCACTGGTATCGGAGCCAGATGTCTGAACGTGTCAGCCAGCCGTAAACCCATGTCACCGATGTATCTAATGCCACATCTCTTGCAGTTGATGGCGTAAATTACAGTAGAGCTCGTGCAATGGAAGGCATCACGTATGTGGAAGGTGGCGTTCGGGAACTCCAGGCTGGTACACTGAACACCATATGGACAGGTCCTGCATACAGGTCTGTGGCAAGAGACCGTCTCGAAGTCGGGCTCGGATGCAGGAAGTAACCGACTCATGACTAGAATGTCCTTGAAGTTACGGTCACGCATGTAGGCCAATAGAGGAAAATCAGAGAAAATCTTGCTGGTTTTAGGGTCAGCTCTAAGGATGAAAGAGATGCTTGAGGAGAATATTCTTAGCAAAGATGTTGTTAGGGTGGTAGTTGAAAATGAGAATAGGTCTGTTGTGTTGACGTTTAGGCTCAGAAACGAGAGCCTCAGCTCGATGAATAGACCGTGCTCGGTAAAGGGTAGCAAATAAGACATGCTCCGGATACTTTTGGAGCCGAGAGAAGTTCAACATTTCTATAGCCTTGTGGTGAAAGTCGTCGATCTCCTGACATAGTCTGCGGAGAAAGAAGTTGGGAGAAAAGAATGAAGTCTTTGTAGGAAGAGAAATGTGAAGATGTGTACAAATAGAAAAGTGTGGGAATCAGCAGGCTTATAGAATACTGAGGTGCTGATCCTATTAAAGTCCACGGTGACAGTTATATCTAGAAAATGTACAGACGAAGGTGAAATGCTGAAAGAGCAACGGATACAAGGATGAAAACTGGAGAAAAAATGAATGAAATTTTGCAATTCATGTAGGGACATATCAGTGACACTGATGCAATATTCGATATACTTCTTGTAGAGCTCAAGGAGCCTACCGGTATAAGCATGACGAATCTGATGTTTGTAGCGGCCATTGAAGAGGCAGGCATGGCTCGTTATTTTAAAGCCCAATTACCAAATGCTGTCGGAGGGCCCTAATATAACCTAAATGTTAAAAAGGGTTTATGGGACTTGTACCCGGGTGATATAACCTTAAAATTATATGGTTAAACACCAGCAAGCAGATACAAATTAGAATTTTGACAGCCTGCATCTTCTCTATGGCTACATACAGATGTGAATCGTGGACTATCTCTCAGTCCTTAAGAAAGAGAATAGGGGCTTTTGAGCTGAAATGCTATAGAAAGATTCTCAGAATATCTTGGACAAAGAAAATGAGAAATACTGACTTGAAAAATCTGAACATCAAGGAAGATTGGCTTAATGAACAGCATCCTTTCTTGAAAGCTGGAAAATATTTTGGCCATATCAAGGCGCCACGACGGATTGGGAAACAAAATTATAGCAGAAGGCATGGTACCAGGAAGGAGGGGCAGGGGCCGACCGACACGAAGATGGGCACATGATATAAGTGACTCCTTGAGCGTGAAAGATTATGAGGCGGGAGAACTGGCGAGAGACTGAGTTTCTTACAGGCAGACGGTGATGAGAGCGACGTTCTGCAAAGGACCTGCTACATGATGGTGATCCGGGTGATTCTCATCTAAATGGTGACACTGTATATCATCGGGTGTTTATCGCTTGTTGGACAATCCTGATAGGCTTGAACTTCACTTAACATTCAGTCATCTATATGCTTTACCCAACTTTGCGTCTGATCACTCCGACTGACTGTTCCCCTTACTCTACCTACATGATTTACCTTACTTTGCTTTTGGTCACTCTGACTTTCTAATTATTTTATATTATCTAGGGGTGTGTGAGAGACTGAAAATATCTGGGGATCACTTCACCTACAAGGGAGAGAAAGTGTTCCTGTCTGGCGGAAACCTACCCTGGATCAGCTACGCCTATGACTTCGGAAATGGACAATGGGCGGGAGTCAAATCTCGAGCGGAGGAGCAGATTAAACTGTTGTCTGAAGCTGGCGGCAACTCGTTGAGTAAGTTTTTGTAGAGCTCTCTAGTGTCTTTTCCTGAAATTTGTATTACGGAATTTGTATCTTTTAAAATTCTTTTTAAATTGAGTCGTGTTCGGTTATAGTTTGCCATTTAAACTGAGAATTTATAGAGGCTGTGTTTGTCAGTTTTCTCGAAGTGGCTTGAATGGTAAAACCAGTGTTCATTTAAGGATGAACTTGCGATGGTCCAGCAAAGAGGGATCAGATTTAAATTTCACCACCAAATGCTCTAGAAGCCGTTTATGAAATGATAAAATCTACTGAACAGAAAAATATCCAGTAGGACACAAGAACTGACCCACCATCTTACGTTCATTGTAAACAGATGGGTGTGAGGGTGATATCAAACGTTGCGTTACTATGTGTCTCTTTAAAAATACAAAAGCGCAATTTCCCCAAGCAGGAGTGAGCTTATGTGTGTCGCTTAGGTTTAAGCAACTGATCCACTTCTAGGTGCAAGGGTTTATGTTTCATCGACGGATCAACATCATGGCACACGGATAGTAACCCATAAGTGCTCCCTTCTACTTCCAACTCAGCCTGAGTCCGAAGAATCTAAGCGCAGTGTACGAATCCCGTAGCACCGACGAGGATATTGAAATACTGTTGGCTAAATTTTAAAATTCCAAATTTTAGCCATGGCAGTGCCGTTAGGCTACTTATTTAAGTTGTCACTGTTTTCTCAGTGTACTGTACATCATCTTAAGTGCTTCAAATTTAGTTCAGTTTACCAAACACTATTTAGACTGGTCTCAAATGTAGGCCCTACCAGAAGTCCAGTCTGGCATGTCAGTATTCTGTGAATTCAGTATCTCGACAAAGCGATTCATCTTCAAGCCAGTTAGTTGCATTTCCTTTATGAAAGTGATTGCACTTCTTGCACAGCTGACTGCATTTCTGCTTCAGGAATAGCCAGCTATTTCTCAGGATTCTCCTCTTACGCTTTTGGCCCAAAACGCCTACGCTATTTTAGATGCCTTGCTGCAAACGGTGGTCATAACTGATTTTTAAATGTCAAGTTGTCAAATAAATGTTGTGTGACTTTTTAAAGGGTAGGGGGAGGGGGGGGGGAGGGGGGCACACTTCACAGCTTTTTTAAAGATATTCTTTTGTTGTTGATTTATTTCTTTACGTGATTGTCTATTTGGTATTCACTAAATGCCGTTTTCACTGATATTACTTTCGTTTATATCAGATTTGTGTTAGGGTTTTTCTAAGTGGCTCTTGACCTATGGCGAGTCGTAGTATATGTTTTGTAAACAACCTACACTTAAATGTCTGCCGAAATCAGACACACAAATAGTTCGTAAAGAACCTACACTTCTCTATCTACCCAAAATCAGACACACAAATAGTCTGTGAACAACCTACAATTCTCTATCTACCCAAAATCAGACACACAAATAGTGTGTACACTTCCATGTTTACCGAAATCAGACAAACAAATAGTGTGTTAACAATCTACACTTCAATGTCAGCCAGAAATCAGACACACACATAGTTTGTAAATAACTTAGACTTCTATATCTACCAGAAATCAGACATAAAAATAATTTGTAAATAACTTTCACTTCCACGTCTACCCGAAATCAGACACACAAATAATTTGTAAATAACTTTCACTTCCACGTCTGCCCGAAATCAGACAGGCATATATTGTAACATTTGCACTGGTGTGTTTCCAGGACTGTGGATCCACATCCAGGGAGAGACCAGCCCCAACTACGACAGCAACGGTAACGTCATCGGCCTGGACGCCAAAGGGACCTTCCTCGACGACTTCAAGGACCTGCTCGATCTGGCCAAAAAGTAAGTTGTTAATGCGTAGGCGGCTGGCGGAACGGTTAGAACGCTAGGCTCTCAAACGGAAGACCTGGGTTCGAATCCTCGGTAAGGCTGGAGATTTCTTCTGAAGAGGAAAAAATTCCTTACCTGCACAGTCGTGGCGACAGCACTAGCCAGGCGGCCAGAAACACTTAGGCTCAAAGACTTCCCTTGCCTACATCGCAAAAGTGATATAATACAGACAGTAGTAAACCGCTAGTGCGTGCTTGTCGTCACATTAATGGGTTCTGTCATAGTTGCTAACATAATAACTTTCATTTCTTCCTTATACAGGACATTTCAGAATAATTTAAACATTAACAACACGTTCATCAGAGAAAAACAATTGTACGACAATATTATTGTGTGAGTTGCCGTGGTGTAGCAGCTAGCACTTGCCTGAGGATGACTGACTGACCGACTGATTGACTTTCTACCACACCAGGACATCACACAAGCGATAAACACCCGGTGATACAATGTGCCACCATTTGGATGAGGATCGCCGTGGAGAGGTCCCCGAAACAGCGTTCAGATAATTGGCCACATTTATGGCCTGCCTATATTGCGGCCCCTGGCAAAAGCCAGGGTGGGGCTTTGAAAAAAAAAAAAAAAAAAATTTGTTCTAAAAAGAACGAAACACCTTTAGTAGTAATTATGACTGCATGCCTGCGGATCGGAAAGTCGTAAGTTCGGATCCTGACGGAGCCGGACATTTTGTTTTGTTTTCATAAATGAACTTTGCTCCGAGGTCAACCCAGCCTTGTGTGGGTATCAGGTGCAATCCTGGGAAGTGAAGGTGGTCGGTGTGATGCTAAACACATTACTCACCAAGTACCGATTAGTCTCTAAAATATAGGTCAAGCCAAATACGCCTAAATGCGTGGAACAGGGTCCTGTGCTAACAATATCAATGTAATAAGGCAACTGGAATAATTGGACATGTGTTCCAATTATTGCAGAACAAATACAGAACACGTTTCACGCAAGGCCCACCATTCACGACAGTATGTTTTACTATTATTTGGTTACCACTGACAACGGATTCGGCTGCAGGTAAATTGTCTTTGCGTTGATGTCGACAACCTTATCAACGTCGACAGTTCAGTAGCAATGTAACACAAATACCGCAAACAAATTTAGGGATATGTTTGGAAGGTCATGCAAAGGATATGCCACTGACCTATTAGCATTTATCTTCACCAGTGGTTGCGAAGACCTTTTAGACTTACTAATCAATCGTCGCTTAGTGGCTGATGTCGACAGCACTACCCAGGCGGCCCTTTCTTCTCAGGACTGCACCTGGTACCCATTAAAGGTCGGGTCGACCTAGAAGCCAAACTCATTTAAAACTAAATATCCAGATCCGTCAAGACCTGAAACCACGACCTTAGTTAGTTAGTTAGTTAGTTAGTTAGTTAGTTAGTTAGTTAGTTAGTTAGTTAGTTAGTTAGTTAGTTAGTTAGTTAGTTAGTTAGTTAGTTAGTTAGGTTATCCTCATTGCACTCCGGACATGTCCATAGGTGCTCAGATCCTCCCCTCAGTATGAACCCCAACGTCCGATGGCTAATAGTACCAGTTCTATGTTGATTAACAAGTCTTCTGGCGTAGCTGGTGTGCGTCTCGTTTTTTGCTATGCCGATCTTAATTCCCAAGTCTGCCATTCTGGCGAGTGATGTGGATTCACTGCCACCAAAGTCGTCTATCCTTCCCATTTCTCTGAGGGCGTTGATAATATCAGCATGATCCATAGGCTGACCGTCGGTAGTGATAGCGGATCCAGCCAACCTGTCAGCTCTTTCATTTCCATCGACGCCTGCGTTTCCCGGAACAAAAATAAAGGTGATTCCACGGACAGTGGACTTCTGTAATGATTCAAGCCATTGTCTTCGCACTGAACCTTCCTGAACCCTCCGGATCATACTCACTGAATCACTGAGTATACACACGCGGGTGTATTTTTGTGTTTCAAGCCAGGCAAGCGCTTGTGTCACTGCAATCACCTCCATCGTCATGCTGCTGGTTGTCATGGAGAAGGCGCCGTTGGCTTCTTTGACTGTTCTGCCCGCTGAGCGTGCTGTAAATGCCCATGCGCTTCTTCTTTGGCGTATAACGGATCCGTCTGTATAGATTATTGCATCTGCTTCGTCTGAATTTTCACCGATGAGAGCGTTGACCTCTGCATTAACAGTAACAGGATTCTCTTCTCTACATCGCCTGTTGAGTGTGACAATACAGGAAAATGTACAAATAAACGCCTGAGGCACAGGTATCCATTCTGCACCAGGTATGATGTCGGTTAGGCTGCATATTTGCCTAATAACATCTTCTGCCCGACCTAGCCACGATTTCCCCCTCTTCAGTCTGTCGCCCTTTTCACTAAAAAGCGCTTGATGCAGTGACGACCTTGACATATGCTACCTTCTAAAAGAGAGCTGAAAATGAAAAAAGGCACTCAGAAGGGCGGGGGACAAAAGCTACTTGACTAATGATACTGCAGACCCACACTATACTGCAGACCCACACTGTACTGCAGACCCACACTGTACTGCAGACCCACACTATACTGCAGACCCACACTGTACTGCAGACCCACACTGTACTGCAGACCCACACTATACTGCAGACCCACACTGTATTGCAGACCCACACTGTACTGCAGACCCACACTGTACTGCAGACCCACACTGTACTGCAGACCCACACTGTACTGCAGACCCACACTGTACTGCAGACCCACACTGTACTGCAGACCCACACTGTACTGCAGACCCACACTGTACTGCAGACCCACACTGTACTGCAGACCCACACTATACTGCAGACCCACACACTGTACTGCAGACCCACACTGTACTGCAGACCCACACTGTACTGCAGACCACACTATACTGCAGACCCACACTATACTGCAGACCCACACTATACTAGACTGCAGACCCACACTGTACTGCAGACCCACACTATACTGCAGACCCACACTATACTGCAGACCCACACTATACTGCAGACCCACACTATACTGCAGACCCACACTATACTGCAGACCCACACTATACTGCAGACCCACACTATACTGCAGACCCACACTGTACTGCAGACCCACACTGTACTGCAGACCCACACTGTACTGCAGACCCACACTGTACTGCAGACCCACACTGTACTGCAGACCCACACTATACTGCAGACCCACACTATACTGCAGACCCACACTGTACTGCAGACCCACACTGTACTGCAGACCCACACTGTACTGCAGACCCACACTATACTGCAGACCCACACTATACTGCAGACCCACACTGTACTGCAGACCCACACTATACTGCAGACCCACACTATACTGCAGACCCACACTGTACTGCAGACCCACACTGTACTGCAGACCCACACTATACTGCAGACCCACACTGTACTGCAGACCCACACTATACTGCAGACCCACACTATACTGCAGACCCACACTATACTGCAGACCCACACTGTACTGCAGACCCACACTGTACTGCAGACCCACACTATACTGCAGACCCACACTGTACTGCAGACCCACACTATACTGCAGACCCACACTGTACTGCAGACCCACACTATACTGCAGATTTCTTTGTAAACGTAGGGTTTCCCACTCTAACCGTGGCGAACGGTTAACCCGGGTTTTGGTGGTTTATTTTTCCTGTTTAGTCACATCAATGAACTGCTTAATCCTATTGTCTGCAATCCTGGAGGATGTGGAACGGGAGGAAGAATGGGGGCAGGGGAGCATGGGGGGGGGGGGGGCAAGAATCTAACACTCATGCTGAAATGTGGGCGACAAAACTAACCGGAAAGGCTAACTCAGGCAACAAATGCTTGCAGAAATTGGATTTGTCTACGGGTAGGCGCAAAAATCGCAGCCGTGCCGTGAACAGACACAAAGCTTTTATGTCTTCGGATAGCCTGGCTTGCTAGCTCAGTTTATTAAACCTGACCGGGTGACAAACTCCTTGTGGTCCTGGTTCACGCCAGGTGGTAGGCAGAAAAGCCACAGATCTCCCAGATGTGTGGTATCTGTCATGGAATCAAGGCCAACGGTTGCGTTATCCATAGTACCGAGCCGAAGAGTTAGCTCACGGTTTCTGAATATTTAATACAAATGTTTTCGGATGAGCACATAAGACGAAGAAGTAGAAGAAGAAACGTAACCGATCAGGTTTACCTCTTTGAGTCCTAGCGGGTTTAGCATCACAGGCCCAAGGGGCAGTCAAGAGAGACGTAAAATCAGCGCATCATGCGTTCATTGGGCTTCTAAGTAGGAATCTATGAACGTATGTTGCGTTCCTTGGGACTTAATAAAAGACCTGTATGACGTGGCTGCTGTCTTCTATAAACACAGGTATAACATCTTCGCCTTCCCCACCTTGTGGAACGGTGCCGTTAACCAGGACGGACAGAACCACCTCAACGGGCTTGTCACCGACGCCAAGAAGCTGCAGACCTACTTAGACAAGGCCCTGACCCCTCTGGTGCAGGCGGTCAAAGGTCACCCAGCTCTGGGAGGATGGGACATCATCAATGAAATAGAGGGAATGGTTATCCCTGGAAGAGTTAGTATTTTATTTCCTCCTGTGTATGTTTTCTGTTTGTTTGTTATCCTCTTCAACTTCATCGCCGTTGTCATCGTCTTTGTTGTTGTCGTCTCATTATCTTTCTACACCATATGGCAAAGAGTGGACAATTATTATTTGCTGAGCAGTAACAGTAGCAGTAGCAGCAGTATTAGTAGTAATAGTGGTAGTAGTAGTAGTTGTGGTAGTGGTGGTGATGGTAGTTATAGTAGTAGTAACAGCAGTAGTAGTAGTAATAGTAGTAGTTACTGCAGCAGCATCAGCAGCAGCAGTAGAAGTAGAAACAGCAGCAGCAGTAGTGGCATGATTATTAGAAAAAGTCGCAGTAGTAGTAGTTGTAGCAGCAGCAGTAGTAGTATTAGAAGTAGTAGTAGTAGTAGTAGTAGTAGTAGTAGTAGTAGTAGTAGTAGTAGTAGTAGTAGTAGTAGTAGTAATAGTAGTAGTAGTAGTAGTAGTAGTAGTAGTAGTAGTAGTAGTAGTAGTAGTAGTAGAAGTAGTAGTAGCAGCAGCAGTAGTAGTAGTAGTAGAAGTAGAAGTAGTAGTAGTAGTAGCAGCAGTAGCATTAGTAGTAGTAGCAGCAGCAGTAGTAGTAGTAGAATCAACAGCAGCAGCATTAGTAGTAGTAGTAGAATCAACAGCAGCAGCAGTAGTAGTAGCAGCAGCAGCAACGCAGTAGCGGTAGTAGCAGTAGACCAATGAGTAGTAACACCTACTCGAACATACCAGTGATAATTATTTCCTTGGAAGTATTCAATATCTGTGTCTGAGTTTGTTGTCTCTCTCTTCTCAGAAAACTGCGGACAAATGCTACGACACGACAGCGTTAGCAAACAGCGGGGCAGGCTGGGCTGGCAACAAGTACAACTACGAGGACGTGCTCAGGTAATCTTAACTTGGTTCATGTCTTTCTTACCAGCGTTGCTGGGTCAGAATATTGTCTTGGGCACATTTGTTGGGTCAGAACATGTCTCTCTTGTGTAGGGCTGGTGAGCCAAGACATGTCTATCTTGGGTAGAACTGGTGTGCCAGAATTTGTCCATGTTGGGTAGAACTGGTGTGCCAGAACATGTACATCTTGGGTAGAATCGGTGTGCCAGAATTTTCCCATGTTGGGTAGAACTGGTGTGCCAGAACATGTACATCTTGGGTAAAATCGGTGTGCCAGATCATGACCATCTGGGGTAGAATTGATGAGCAAAAAAAAATGTCCATTTGTTGTAGAGCTGGTAAGCCGAGACTTGTTAATCTTGGGTAGAATCGGTGTGCCAGATCATGACCATCTGGGGTAGAATTGATGAGCAAAAAAAAATGTCCATTTGGGGTAGAATTGATGAGCAAGAACATGTCCATGGGGGGTAGAATTGATGAGCAAAAACATGTCCATTTGGGGTAGAATTGATGAGCAAAAACATGTCCATTTGGGGTAGAGCTGGTAAGCCGAGACTTGTTAATCTAGGGTAGAGTTGGTGAGCCAAGACTTGTCAATCTGGGGTAAAATCAGTGTGACAGAACATGTCCATCTGGGATAGAGTTGGTGAGTCAAAACATGTCAAAACGATGTGCAGCAAGACTCAAGTTCTGGAACAAGACTAAAGTCCAGAACAACCAAATCTTTCCACCGGAATTTACAGCTGGTGAACATGAAGAAAAGAAAAAAAAAAAGAATATAAATTTGGTTGTGACAATGATCCACTGTCATCTGAAAAAAATTTAAATTTTAGCAACTGTCTCTCTCTATCTCTCCCCCTCGCCCCCTTTCTTTCTTTCTTTCTTTCTTTCTTTCTTTCTTTCTTTCTTTCTTTCTTTCTTTCTTTCTTTCTTTCTTTCTTTCTTTCTTTCTTTCTTTCTTTCTTTCTTTCTTTCTTTCTTTCTTTCTTTCTTTCTTTCTTTCTTTCTTTCTTTCTTTCTTTCTTTCTTTCTTTCTTTCTTTCTTTCTTTCTTTCTTTCTTTCTTTCTTTCTTTCTTTCTTTCTTTCTTTCTTTCTCTCTTTCTTTCTTTCGCAAAGTGTATGAGTGTCTTTATGTTTCTAAACCCTCCCTACAGTTGTATGTCAGTCAGTCTCTCTCTGTGCCCGTAGTTGTTTAACCCACTAATTCTTACTGTGTCATGGGTTCGGTTCCTGTCGAAGCCGGGCTTTTTTTTTTGCTTCAGAAAATGACCGTGGCTCGCAGTTTAACCGAGCCTTGAGCTCGGTACCAGGTGCAGTCCTGGGAAGTAAGGGCGGCCAGTGTGAGGCTGACGACAAGTGGCGATTAGTCTATAAAATATAGATCTACCCAATACGCCTGATGGCGTAGAAAAATTTCCTTTACTTTGTTACTTTTAACAATTCCTATTGTACGTACCTTCAGGTTCGTCAATTGGCAGGCGGCGGCGATCAAGTCTGCAGACCCCGAATCGCTGGTCAGTGTCGGTGTGTGGAACCCCAGGTCCAACACTGATCAGTTCGGACAGGTCAACCATTACTCTGACGAGTGCTTAGTCAAAGCTGGCGGCAAGGCAAACGTGAGTTCTCTAAGAGTGGGGGTGGTATTTGTCAAAACTAACATAAGTACATTGTGATTACCATTCTCACACCAGAGACTCACGTGACAGCTGGCGCTAGAGTCACATTTTCATACATAAATCACCACTGGTGGGTGCTGTGGTTAATATTTCACCGGTTGCCTTTACTTCCCATGTAGTTTTCTTTACCCTAATTTTAGTAGCAGCAGTAGTTATTTTTGTATGGAAAGATGGCTTTGTAACACAGTAGCCACGGAGACAGTTATGTGGATAGAAAGAAATTGTTGCTGGGTACAGTCTATTTTTCCATGTCCCCCAAGCGTAAATGGTGAAAATATGGGGGTGACTGCAGTCACTACAAGTTTTGTGTAGTTTGACAAAGGCTGCCAGGCCGAAACGTTACGTTTTTTGTGTTGTTTTGTGCACGGTTTTCTGCTTTCCCATTTTGTTGAGCTTTTTAGTGAAATTTCTCTGGAATTCCCCCAAACGTAAGCATGTCTAGCAGGACAAGTGATTAAGAGTTCGTATATGTCTATTGTGTTTACCAACACGGCCAGTGATACAACGCAGCGTGAACGATCAAGTCATACAGAATGAAGATTGTTTATTTTAAAAATACAATATCAGTTTGAGTAAGATGATTATTTAATTTAAACAGTAATATGAACACTATAGTTTAGGTTGCTATAACGTTCGATAAGCACTTCTAATAGTTTTTTTTTTTTTTGCTGGTCAAAAAAATGTTAGTTGCGTATGCTTTACACGGACGTTGTAAAACCAACCAGAACTGTTTTGGCTCTTGTGGTTTTTCTAGGCAAATTCTACATTCAGTAGTTTGCCACTGCTTGCTGGAAGGTCGGCTTCTCGATACCACTGTTGAAACCAACGCAAGGCACAAGGCCCGCAGATGGGATTGGGCCCGGCACACCAACATTACGAAGCGCCTTTTGGCTATTACTGATTGTTTTTCAAGCCTTTTCCAACGCACTGTAGAAATATTTTTTGTTCTAACCAATCTTAACTTTCGGTCATACTGTAAACTGCTATGTTCCCAAACTACAGTCCTTGTCGACCTCTCGGCTGGCCCGAATTTGGCCTAACTACCCCTCGTTATTTCGTTATCTCTTCTCTTTTCCAAGTCCGGGTGATTTCCCCTGTCACCCGTTCACATGTTCATCCTCGTCCTTCGATTCTCGATCAGTTGTACTATTTTATCTGACCGAAATATTAAAATACCCCTCTCGCCTGTGTCGCATAGGGCGTTGTCCGACCAGCGTTCCTCGTTATCTCATTTCCACTGGAAGTGTCGCTGATTTGGCATGTTTAGTTCTAGCGCTTCGGCTGGTTAGACCTTACTACCTGAAAGCGACGTGTGTTATTCTAATGACTCTCACAGGGGATCCTGGCTTCTCCATATCACCTTGTCACACTGTATACATCCGTCAGTGTCAGATGTCATGTTTGGTTGCGGCCCTCAGTGTTTCCCGGTGTTAATTTATCAGATATAATAGTACTTGTTCATCACTCCTGTTTATTGTTTTACTCCATTTTCACACCAGCCTAGCTCTAAACGCCACTCTCATGTAGCAGCGGAGATGAATTTCAGTCATTGTATATAACTCAAACTTGTATATAGCTCAAACTTGTATGTAGCTTTAACTTGTATATAGCTCAAACTTGTATATAGCTCGAACTTGTGTGTAGCTTTAACTTGTGTGTAGCGTTAACTTGTATATAGCTCAAACTTGTATGTAGCTTTAACTTGTATATAGCTCAAACTTGTATGTAGCTCAAACTTGTATGTAGCTCAAACTTGTATGTAGCTCAAACTTGTATATAGCTCAAACTTGTATGTAGCTCAAACTTGTATGTAGCTCAAACTTGTAAATAGCTCAAACTTGTATGTAGCTTTAACTTGTATATAGCTCAAACTTGTATGTAGCTCAAACTTGTATGTAGCTCAAACTTGTATATAGCTCAAACTTGTATATAGCTCAAACTTGTATGTAGCTCAAACTTGTATGTAGCTCAAACTTGTAAATAGCTCAAACTTGTATGTAGCTTAAACTTGTATGTAGCTCAAACTTGTATGTAGCTCAAACTTGTATATAGCTCAAACTTGCATGTAGCTCAAACTTGTATATAGCTCAAACTTGTATGTAGCTCAAACTTGTATATAGCTCAAACTTGTATGTAGCTCAAACTTGTAAATAGCTCAAACTTGTATATAGCTCAAACTTGTATATAGCTCAAACTTGTATATAGCTCGAACTTGTATGTAGCTCAAACTTGTATATAGCTCAAACTTGTATATAGCTCAAACTTGTATGTAGCTCAAACTTGTATACAGCTCAAACTTGTATACAGCTCAAACTTGTTTATAGCTCAAACTTGTTTATAGCTCAAACTTGTATATAGCTCAAACTTGTATGTAGCTCAAACTTGTATGTAGCTCAAACTTGTATGTAGCTCAAACTTGTATGTAGCTCAAACTTGTATATAGCTCAAACTTGTATATAGCTCAAACTTGTATATAGCTCAAACTTGTATGTAGCTCAAACTTGTATATAGCTCAAACTTGTATGTAGCTCAAACTTGTATATAGCTCAAACTTGTATGTAGCTCAAACTTGTATATAGCTCAAAGTTGTATATAGCTCAAACTTATATATAGCTCAAACTTGTATGTAGCTCAAACTTGTATATAGCTCAAACTTGTATATAGCTCAAACTTGTATATAGCTCAAACTTGTATATAGCTCAAACTTGTATGTAGCTTTTACTTGTATATAACTCAAACTTGTATATAGCTCAAACTTGTATATAGCTCAAACTTGTATATAGCTCAAACTTGTATGTAGCTCAAACTTGTATATAGCTCAAACTTGTATATAGCTCAAACTTGTATGTAGCTCAAACTTGTATATAGCTCAAACTTGTATATAGCTCAAACTTGTATGTAGCTCAAACTTGTATATAGCTCAAACTTGTATATAGCTCAAACTTGTATGTAGCTTTAACTTGTATATAGCTCAAACTTGTATATAACTCAAACTTGTATATAGCTCAAACTTGTATATAACTCAAACTTGTATGCATCTCAAACACCAACACTCAGACAAGCAACGGCTTTAGCTCCAACCAACAACACGACACTCAAACCCTCCCCATCACCACCCCCCACTCTAACCCTCCCTCCCACCACTCTAACTCTCATCGCTACTTTATAAAACATAACACACATATATATATAATATACCTACCTGTGTGCTAACTCTCCCAGTTCTAAACAAAGAAAGCATCGTGACATATTATTATTCGTGTACTTTCTGTGTATAGCCTGGACCTACTAAAACAGTCAACAACACATTAGTCTCCTGCAGGTGAAGTATATTTTTTACTCTGCGATTATAGTACGGACAATATTTTGTTGATTTCACAATTGACTCATCGGAAACATTTGCATCTGTGTTCTCAGTTTGTGTTTTCTTGATTTGATTTGTTCAGGGAAAGCTGGACTTCTGGCAGTTCCACTCCTACGACTGGCAGGGGCAATTTGATGACGTATCTCCCTTTAAGGTCAGCTAATTGTTGTGTGTACTATCCTAAGAGTGATCTCATTATTTGCTTAACTTCACTTTCCCGTGCGTCTCGGGTGTAGCACGACCGGCTCCAGCTGACTGGAAGTGCTGCTAACGTCACTGGGTCAGGCTACCGATTGATTTAACGCAGCAGTTCTCACACAAAACAATAAACTACTTTCGACGGTGGCGAGGGAAGACAACTTAAATTTTAACTTTCAACTACCTACATGCCTTCTTTAATAATTTCACAATTTTTAGCCTACTTTTCTTGATTATTGCTGCTGCACCTCTGGCAAACGCTCACGGCAAGCCCAGGATTCCTCGGCACCCAGTTTGAGAACCGCTGCGTTAATGCATCGCCAGCCCGACGCGATGACGTAAGCAGCACGGCAAGTCAGCTAGAAGATGGTCGTGGTTGTAGAATGGGGATGTAGATACTGAGTTGGGCACACGACAGTGAACGTAGTCCATGTTGTAGTTGTTTCCCAAGCTGCTACCTGTAGGTTTGATCACCCTGAGGCTACACGGGTCTCAGCCTGTGCAGTGGAGCAAAACATCCAATCCCAGATACCTTTTTCAACCTTCACAGAATTGATTATTCAGCGACCTGAAATGGCAGTATTATTCACCTGATATCACCAGCAGTCCTGTGCGGGCACGGATTATGATAACAGTGGGTGTTTTCCCCTTCTTCTTGTGTTCTACAGCTAAAATCCTGAGCGTCGCAGAGAGGAGTAATATATAGTTTCCTGTCTTGTTCTAATTGTTTAGCTTGTGTTAATGTCATATTATGTTTCCGTACTGCCTCTTTTACTCCATCCACCCATCTCTTTCTTGTTTGGCCTCTTGCCTTGTTGCCTGCTGTTGTCTAGTAGTACAGTGAAACCTCGCTTAACGAGCATAATTCGTTCCAGAATCATACTCGTTAAGCGAAACACACGTTATGCGAAACCATTTTTCTCATAGAAATTAATGTAAAAGATGATAATGCGTTCCAGGTCGAAAAAAATACTAACAAAATGCTATGTATAACGTTTTTTCAAAGACAATTATCTACATATTGTTAAGGAGAGTGAATCATCATCATCTTTTCTTCAAACACGGAACGAACCTACCGGGAATTCGATCTGCAAAGAACAAAATTCGAAATAGTTATGACACATAGCCAATTATTTTGTTTATTAGAAAGATGTCCAGAGACATTTGTGTTTGCCGACGCTTCAAAAATTGGCGAAAATGCGACAGAATTATCATTAAATTAATTTGCAACGCGCATAGCCACTTCCTTATTAGCGTGAGGCTTCTCAATGTAAGATGCAACAGTTTCCCATGCTTTCAGCATTTCTCTTATTTCGCAAAAAGATTGTTGCTTTTCTGTTACCTCCTCCTCCTCTCCGACAAACTTTCCTCCAAAACTTCTTGCTGTGAAACACACTGCAACTCCATAAGCTCTTGGGCGGTCAGCTCTTGGCTGTGCTCTTCCACAAGCTCTTCGATATCACTGTTATCCACCTCCAATTGCATGATAGTGGCCAAAGACACAATCTCGTTTACTACAGGTTCCACAGGTACTGTCTCGAACCCCTCAAAGTCATAAATCGACAATGCTCTCAGGCCTAAGCTTCTTCCAAGCAGAAGTTAGGGTTCTCTTAGAAGTTAGGTAACCCCTTGTTGATCACCTTGAGGCAGGCAACTATGTGGAAGTGATTTTTCCCAAAACTCTTTGAGAGTGAGGTTGGTCCCTTCTTCTTCTTCTTCTTCTTCACTTCCTCTTTTACCGCTGTGGGTGTCGAGGGAGATATAAGGTTCTGTTTCTAGCTCTTCTGGCTGCCTCGACCATAGGCACATCGTGCTGTTGTAGAGTTTCTCTGATGTTATCCTTCCATCTTGTTCTTGGTCTATCCCGTGCTCTACGTCCTTCTTCTCTTTCCATGTATGCTTTGTATGGTATGGTGTCACAAGGCATTCTCTCTAAGTGGGCAAACCATTTCACTTGATGTCTTTGTATGTAATCCAGAATTGGCTCTGTGCCGACTTGTTCTCTTATGATCTCATTCCTGATCTTATCTCTTATGGTCACTCCTTACAGCCCTTCTCAGACATCTCATTTCCGTGTTTACTAATTTTTCTTTTATGGTTTGTTGTGAGTGACCATGTCTGGAACTGGCAGCACAGAGTTGGTATAAATATGCTTTGAATAGAGTGTCTCTTTGTGCTGATTGGGGATTGTCTTATGCTGTAGGAGGAGGTGGCTAGCGTCCCAATACTTGGTTTTGCTTTACTGCATCTAATGTAAATGTCTTTTATCCAATTTCCCGATGCTTCGGGGTAAATGTAGTTCCCAGATATTTAAACTCAGTATGCCTGTTTAATGCCTTGAAACTGATTGCATCTGTGCAGCTTCTGTTTCTCCTAAATCCAATCTGTTGGTCCCTTGAGTCACCTGAAAATAATGCTCGAAGAGTATTTAGTGTAGAGCTTCTTAAATTTAGAAATAACTTGCTGGTCCATGGGCTGGACTAACGGAGTGGTGTTGGGAGGCAGAAACTGGATCTTGATGAACTTAAATTCTTCAGAGAGGCCATCTTGTAGGCCTGGAGGATTCATATGCATATATCACAATATAACACAAGTTTGAGAAAATGTGTGATTACAAGCGACACTACGATGCTACTGGAACGAGTGCTAAACACAGACTGATGTAACATGCGCACAGTTCGGAACTTCCCCTCTCCTCGCCACTTGTTATGCGAAACGTCGCTCGTTAAGCAAGTCATTTTTTTTCAAACAATTTGTTTTGCTCGTTATGTGAATTAGTCGTTATGAGCGGTGCTCGTTAAGCGAGGTTCTACTGTATTCTCTAGCTGCTGGTTGTGTTCTGTTCTGACCAAACGGTTTATTTCTTTGATGCTCTTTGAAATCATTATCAGTGCTGTGTCTGTCATTGTGTCTGATATCTGTCATCAACATTGCAGATATAGATAATCTATTTTAAGCTAACGAAAGAAGGAGAAGAAAGATAATTTTTTTCTCCATAAGCTTTCATAGGCCTGTGACAGCTTAATACATATAGTCAAGCCGTCCTTGGGTGAGGGGGCATCTAATTTAGGACAGACAAAATATGCCAACTGACCATATGATTCACATTTCTCATCAATATACTTTCATTGAAATTTGCGATATATAATGCGCCGGCTCATGTCAGTATGTGTAATTTAAATTTAGTATGTTATATTAGGTATATTTGTGCCATTCCATGTCATTAGGTGTCATATAATGCTGTTATGTCATGACATGTCTTTGAATGTCATCCTTGGTCATATAATCATGCCAACTGGCGTAGGCGCTCATGCGTCTCCACAGATCACGATATCTGGTTGCCTGGAACAGCTCTCTTGATGATTTCCCTCCATGCCATCGTTTGAGCCTATTAAGAATCATCTCTCTTGATCAGCCTCTGCCCCTTTTTCCACTGATCTTTCCAGTTGTCGCGATGTTTTCCAATGTCTCTTTTCTCATTATGTGGCCAAAGAACAGTGTTCGTCTCTTTCTTATTGTTGTATATAGAGATCTACTTTTATTAGCTTCTCTCAAGCAATCGTTGTCAGTTACTCTGGCTGTCCAAGGTATTCGTAACATTCGTCTAAGAAACCAAATCTCTGTTGCTTCCAAATTCTTCCTAATTTGTTCACTGACATCGCTGTCATCCTTGGTATGTGTCAAATGTTGTCAGTATGTGTTATCCCATGTTGTTTTATTTAATGGTAATATTGTCTTCAGTTTGTCTCATCTCTTGCCTCTCTAATGTTATTCATTGTCAAAACGTGTTCTTTATAAACAAAACACTTATTTGAGTGGTGTAGCGATGAGATGCTTGCCTGCTGATATGAAGATCCTGGGTTCAGGTCAAATGAGGTGTTCACAAACCACTAGTGTGGTAGTAAAAGGTCAAACGAAACCATTACATTATCTTCTCAAGAATAATTTCATGATAAGGAATATCTAAATTAAATAAGTAAAATTACAAATTTCCTTACAGACGTATTGGGTATATAGGGCAAGACCTATACTTTATAGACCAATAGGCACACGGTGGATGATGTGATCAACACCCTGCCGACTGCTTTTACTTCACAGAAGTGTACCTTCTTCTTCTTCTGCCTTTCTATCCCCTAGTGGAGCATTAGCCCTCAGACAACTCCCGTCAGGTCGTTCTATCCTTTGCTATCCCATGCAGCTCTTCCCATATCCTCTCCATTTGTTTAACTTACTCTCTTGACCCCTTCTCCACGGGTTTTTGGTCATCCTTTATTTCTTTACCCATGTGGGTTCCAGCGCAATGACATTCTAGTTAGACTGTTCTCAGGTTTTCTCATCGCAGTCTAGCTCCATCAGCACCTAAACCCACGACCTTCGGATCGCAGGCGAGGTCTAGTCGCTACACTTTCCGCTGCCTAGGTACAGAGTACTGTCAAACCATCTACCATTGCGTCTATAATGTTGTTTACTCCTCAACAGCATTCATACGCCGACTACAAGGTGGACAGACCCATCTTGATCGGGGAGTTCTGGGAGAAAGGAGGAGGTGGTTTGAAGATCGCCGAACTCTTTGAGTACATCTACAACCACGGCTACGCTGGCGCCTGGAGCTGGGATCTGGTGAACGAGGGCGGTAACCAAAGACCCGGCATCGCCCACATCAAGAGTTACACCAAGAACGGAAAGATCCCTGTCACCATCTCTTAAACAATAGCTGGTTGCTCTATTGTGTGTGTGTGTGGGTGTGAATGCTTGTGTGTTGGCGAGGAGTAATCGAGATATGCAAAAGTAAAGTTTTTTGGAATAAGACCACACTGTTGTTTAACCTTTTCTGACCGCAAACAACGCACTGAGCGTGACTGTATGTCATTCATGTGTACCAATCAATACGATATGCAGGTTTTTACATCTTCTGTTTAGTAAGAACCAGGGGGCCGACCGTCCAGGAGCAATGGCAAACTACTGGACGTCATTTTCCCTAGAGAAACCACACAACAGCCAAGGGCTGCTGGTGTTGGTTCTGCAACGTCATGTAAAGGATACGCAACTAACCTAATTTAGTCAGAGCTGCGAAGAACTGCAAGTGTTGTATCTTATTTGGCTTCCCTGGAAGTAGTATACCCATACGTTAAGTAGTTTCTCAACTCCCTCGTATATTTTGCTAAGACCATATGTGACAGAAAAGTTCAATTCTGATGATACTATTGTTTTCTTTGAATTAGTGGAATTATTTTAGTATTGTTTTTTTGGTCACTAGCTTCAATTTTTCCAACATTCTTCTTGCTAGCAGATTGAATGTTAAATTTATAATCGACATCACAGCCCTCGGGAGACTTCCATAAGTGCGCGGTCCCCATTTTCAGCAGCGAGAAAAGAGTTCCTATTCTGATGGTACCAGTAACTGTTTGTATATCTGTCTCATCTTCCCCCTCAGGGTTGAACATCGGCCAGATCCCCTGTTAACTCCTCGCAGCGCCATTCTACTTAGATCATACTGCTCTATCTGAGTCTCTGCACTGTTTACTCGATCTCAAAGGGCCCTCACAATATCTAACTTGTCAAACATCAATTTACCATAAATTGGTGCAGAGCCAGCCAGTTTATCTACCTGCTCCTTTCCCAACACACCGTTATGACCTGAAGAAAATATCCAAAAAATGCTAACTACCCGAGACCTTTGAAGTGATGGTTGCCACTCTGTTCGAAGCATGCCTGTTTTCATCTATCTCAACATGCTCTGTGAGTCGGTTACAATCACGGCATGTGTGTACAGCTGATTCTCAAACCAGCGAAAGGCAGCAGAGACAGCCTCTACCTCTATTCTCAAAATAGGCGTTGTGAAATCATATGCAAGGATTATGCTAGACTATTAAAAAGAGAAAAAAACTGACATTGTGACTGATTTCACCCAAAGAAGGTGACTAACAGGCGATATACTCATCATTTTGTTTCTATTACAAAAACAATGAATGCATGAAGCATGTGTATAATGGCGCACCGCCCTGCTTAATGAAATATTGAAGCCACAGCAGCAGTGATTGGTCATTAGTAGTAGTATTTTATTCCCAGCTAGGACACCACACAAAGCGATAAACACCCGATGACACAAAGTGCCACCATATGGATGAGGATCACCCGTGGAGAGGTCTGGGAAACCGCGTTCAGCATTTAGACCATATTTATGGCCAGGTTATGGGCGGCCCCTGGCAAGAACCATGGTTGAGCTTCAAAATAACAAAAAATTGCATCCTACAAGGAAATGATTACTACCCAATGATTGGTCATGGAATAGTTGAATAGTTGAAGAGACGAATACCATGCTTAAAAGGGGGCACAATGAAGCCATGCGCATTTTTCGGGGGATGTACGAGAGACAACTCATGTATGGCAGTGAGATATCTGCTTGACTTCCCCACCAATAACTAGAGGATCACGATCTGGCGGGCTCGTGCATACCTTAAAATATGCGCTTGTGAAAAAAAAAAACCCATTGCATTAAGCCGGTTTTAGATCCAAGCGGTCATGCATAGACCACATCTTTACTCTTAGAATAATTGTTGAAGATTCTACAGAATTCCAGTCGAAATTATTGATCAACTTTGTCGACTTTCAAAAAGCCTTCGACAGTATCCATCGTCCAACACTCTGGAAATTGCTTAACATCTATGGTTTCCCCATCAAATATATCAACATCATAAAATCTTTTTATAATGAAACACGATGCTGTGTAAGAACTGATTCCGGCAATTCTGACTGGTTCCCGGTGGAAACAGGAGTGAAGCAAGGCTGTGTCCTATCGCCGATGCTTTTTGGTATAGCAATCGACTGGGTCATGCGCAAGTGCATAAATAACGCAAATTTAGGCATTACATGGGTTGACAAAATTCTGGAAGACCTAGACTTCGCCGACGACATAGCACTCCTGAGTTCAGAACACACAGACGCCCAAGAAAAAATCAATCGACTCCAGAATTTCTCAGAACAAATTGGACTCCAAATTAACACCGCAAAAACAAAATTCTAGACCTTACCAACAGTTCAGTTGATATCACGCTGAACAACAACAGCCTTGAAAAAGTCAACAGTTTCACTTATCTAGGGAGCAAGATGTCATCTACAGGAGATACCGCACCAGAAATATCATTTAGAATAGCACTGGCATCTAATGCCTTCAATAAACTGTCTAACATCTGGAAATCAAAGACACTTAGCAAACACACAAAACTCAAGATCTTCAATTCTTGTGTGATTCCAGTACTAACCTATGGATGCGAGAGTTGGAAATCAACGAAAACTCTAGACACAAAATTAGACAGTTTTGAAAATAAATGCCTTAGAAGAATACTAAATTTCAAATGGTCAGATTTCCGAACCAATACACAAATAAGGCAAGAATCCAGGCAAGAGTATGTGTCTAATTTTATACGAAAACGCCGCTGGAACTATGTCGGCCACGTCCTTAGAATGGATAAATCAAGACTTCCTTACCAAGCCCTCATTTGGACACCACAGGGGAAAAGATCTCGTGGAAGACCAAGGGAAACCCTACGTAGAACTATCATCAGGGAAGGCTCGCTCATGGGCCACTCAAACATCCAAGACCTACAACGGATTGCAACGGACCGCCGTGCATGGAGAGCCACGACCTCTGCCCTATGTGCCGCACTCGACACAAGAGGAAAGACTAACTAACTAACTGAAAAAAGGCGACAGGCTTAAGAGTGGTGAATCTTGGCTTGGTCAAGCAGAAGATGCCATCAAACAAGTATGTAGCCCAACCAATATCACTCCTGGTGAAGAGTGGATTGCCATGCTTACCGTGTTTAATTTCGACTTTTCTTGTATTGTCGTGCTCGACTGAAGATGCATGGAGCAGAATGCTGTAGTTGACAATGCAGAGGTCAACGCTCTCATCAGCGATAACTCCGACGAAGCGGATGTACTGATCTACACAGGCGGATCTTTTTTACGACAACAAAAAAGTGCATGGGTGTTGACAGCACACTCAGTGGGCAGAACAATCAAAGAAACCAGCTGTGTCTTCTCCATGACAACTAACAGCATAACGATGGAGGTGATAGCGGTAACGCAAGCATTCGTATGGCTAAGAACACAAGACTAAACACTTAGCGATTCAAAGACCATGATCTGAAAGATCCAGGCAGGTTCTGTGCAAAGGCAGTGAATTGTGCCATTACAGAAGTCCAATGTCGTTATGTCGTCTTTATTTGCGTTTCGGGTACGCGGGCATCGATGGAAACGAAAGGGCTGATAGGTCAGCTGGATCCACTATCCCTGCTGAAAGTCAGCCCACGTATCATACTGATATTAATAATGTCCCAGAGAAGTGGGAAAAGTGAAGGACTGTCGAAACAGCGATTCCACATCGCTCACCAGAATGAAAGAATCTAGAGTTAAGATCGACATAGCCAAAAGCGACAGGCATACAAAAAGACTTATCAGTTAACTAAGAACTGGCATTTTTAGTCACAGGACGCTGAGGTTCATACTGAAGGAGGAATGTGAGCACCCATGGACACGTCCGGAGTACAATAATCATATCCTAACTAACTATTAAGTAAAATTAAAAGTCCATTTTTCACGCCTTTAAGCGTTTTGTGAATATAGGGTTAGACCTATATTTTTATAGACCAATCGGCATTTGGTGGGCGATATGGTCAGCATCCAGCCGACCGCCTTTACTTCGCAGGACTGTACCTGATACCCACTCAATGATGGATCGACCTGGGAGTCAAATTCATTTTTTTTTTTAAATGTCCGGTAACGTCAGGACGCGAACGCACGACCCGCCAACACCACGGCGACTGCCTTAACTAGCTAATATCATGCTGAAACTAGCAAGTCATTGCTAGCACCATGTCCAAGAAACAATCGTTCCAGCAGTGAATATGGTTCTCCATGTTAATGCTCCATTCAAATTCTTCCTCCTTGCTCCTTTTCTTCCTTTTTCCACTTCTTCTTCTTCTTCTTCTTCTTCTTCTTCTTCTTCTTCTTCTTCTTCTTCTTCTTCTTCCTCTTCTTCTTCTTCTTCTTCTTCTTCTTCTTCTTCTTCTTCTTCTTCTGCTGCTAGCTGCTGCTGCTTCGTCTTTTTGCGTTCTAATTCTTCCTTTGACTTCTTTCTTTTCGGTTTCTGTCTGTCTGCCTCACTGTCCTTCTTCTTAGCGTTCACCAGAAGCAGACTCCGGTGGACAGTTCTGGTTGTTTGTCCATTTCTAGACTTTGATTTGTTCCAAAACTTTAGTTTTGCCTACATATCTCTTCTACGTGTCTGGATATTTGTGTAAGGGTATGTAGACTGTTGGTTCCTCGCCTCTCCAACTTCGATGGAAACTGCCTTAATCTTTAATTAGCATTGTATAGATTGCTAACTGCGGAGGCTGTGGGTTTCTGGCTCCTCCCCTCATCCTCTCCTTAGAACGGGGCCTCTGAACCCACATATGGAAAATCATATTCATTAAAGTTTTTCAAGACAAACTACAAATACGGCAACAATTTATTGTTCTTGTATTTTGCTTAACGGCAGAAGTGGAAACTGATGAAGATGATGTAATTTTTTAAAATGTGAGGTCAGCATGTCAAATCGATGAAATATATTGGCTCTCTAGTCACCCGTCACTGTGTCAGTTGAGTTCAGTCAAGAACACAGTACTCGGGACATCCCCATATTCACCGCGTCCTCATCCTCA